GGAAAAAAAAAAAAAAAAAATAGTTAAACTTCAAGCAAGAATCATGAAGAAGGTTAAAGAAAGGGAGAACATTATTTATTAATTTGATTTATTACCTTCTTCTTGCTGGTTTCAATCCGATTGCTGATAGTCTTATACTGCATTGGATAAAAATGGTTAAAATTCTATGATTTTGAGTACATGAAAAATTACATAAATTTGTACTCGTACACATAAATAATATAATATTCATATACATATATTTTTTTTTTTGTCAAATGATAGACTTTCAATAAAAAAAACACATAATTACACAACTAAACAGTCGAATAAATAGCAACACAACTGGATCTAGTTAGAAGGACTAGTTAGAAGGACTAGATTCATAGACAAAAGTTCGAGTCAGCCTAGAACCAACCTAAACACAGAACCACACTACAACCTCGAACCAACCTGAACACAAAACTACACTAAAAAAACTAAAACTCCCAATAGAAGACAATTGCCAAAAGGAGAATTAAACAACTCCCAAATGGAGAAACAAACAAAGGAAAAAACCACATAACTAAACAGAGAAAACAACATACACTAACAAAACAAAAGCAGCAAACACGAAAACAACTAAAACACAAGCCCTCCCCAACAAACAAGAACAACCAGCGTCCACATAACCCAAGCAAACATCCAAACGCTAACGACTGACCAAAAGTCACGCAAACAGCATCCCAAACACAACGAAATCAAAAACTCCACTAACGTGCTAACTGGAATTGAACTACAGATCCGCCAACCACCCTCGAAACTCCGTAGAGTCGCCCAGGCCGGTCCACTTCACAACCACTCCACGCAAACACCGGGGCAGCTTTGCACCATGCAACCGCCCCGGAAGACTGCACCATCTCAACACCATAGAAGGCTGGAGGGGGAGGGAACCAAGACTAGACCGCCGCCACTGACCTCCACCATGGAAGCCCGCAGCAGTTGCCAGAAGGCCCATAACACGACCACCGACGCCACTTGCTTGCCATGGCACTCGCGAAGAGATAAGCCACTTCGGAGGGAGAGAGACGAGGGATCACCATAACCGAGCCGCCAAGCCTCGTTCGAGCCGGATGCTCGCCGGGATTGCAAGAGACTGGCCTGCCTATGGGGAGGCACCCCCAAGGAGATGGTGCGGCTTATGTTCCAATATAATATTCATATAGAAAGTGGGTAAAGCAAAAAAACTGGGATGATAAGAAATAAGTTACAAATACAACTTAACAATATGGTCCAAATCTATATTTAGACACTAGTAAGCATCCCGTGCGATGTACGGATAGCAGGGGCGCAGCCAGAAAAAATTTTAACCCTGGACTGCAAACTTTGTTGCTGCTATTCAAAACGAGTTGTTCTCTAACATAGTTTGATAACTTGTAAAAGTACGAGCTTGACTTTTTTGTATATTAAAATGAGCCAAAATCGAACAACTAATCAAGCATGTCTATCAAACAAGTCGAGTCGAGCATGTTCGTAAATAAGTAAAGTAGAGTTTTAAATTTTGTCCTAGGTTTTATAGTTTATTGAATGAATTGAACCGAGTTTATGCAAGTCAAACCCAAGCTCAAATTTGTATTTATTTACGACAACTCGTTTATTAAATGAGCACGAGTTCGAACTTGAAATACTCGATTTGAGAGATCTAGCTAGATACATGTTTAAAAAAGTCAAAATATGAAAATAATTTTTAAATTTAATATAAATTACCTAAGTCACACAATAAATATAATAATTATTATAATTTCTAACTAATCGTTTTTTATATGGATATGACTCTCCTTGAACAAAAACTTGTTGATTTTAACCGTTCTCTTAATACATATGAAAAATATTTATTTTTAATTGTTTCATAATTTTTCTAAAATTATTCTTTTTTAATGTACAATTTTTTTCTCATATACTTGAATTTTAAATAAAAATATATTGTTTATTCAAAGAACTACTATAAAACAGTGTAATTGTCCCGTTATTCTTGTTATATATCATGTCATTTAAAGTACACATGTCATTTCATTGAATTTTTCAGATAAAGAAATGAGGTTTGGTAGTAAATTTCATATAATCAACTATCATTTATTTAAAAATTCAATGAATAAATAAACTTGATTATATAATCTATGAATAATCACATACTAAGTATTCTAGTGAAAGTATAATACAATCAAATATTGTCTCGAATAGAATTTTTCAAATAAAATCTATTTAATCAAATAATAAAAAATAAATACAAGAATGACATCTTAAAAGAGGCATAATAATCTAAAAGAAAAGTAGAAAGAAACTTAAATCATGTTTAGAAATATAATTCATTAATTTAATGCAAAAAAAATTGAACTTACTTTGGGTCAAAATAAGATTAATATTGGGCTAATATAATGTAAAGTAGGTTAAAATATTTTTTATCAGTTCTATTTCATAGGGGTCCTTTATTTATAGAATTTATTGATGAACATAACCAGAAAATTAAGACCGGATTGAAGCCCGCCCCAGCCTTTGGGGTGGCTCTGTCCCTGACGGATAGGTTTCTACCTTAATTTTTTTTTTTAAACTTTATTTTAACAATGTATTAGTCCGTTGACCCATTTATATTAATGTAAATGATATTTAAAACAAATTTGTTTTTTGATACAGAATAATAATTTTACTTATTATTATTCATCATTATATTTAAATATTATTTTAATGTAAAATTTAATTTCATATAGTTTCATTATTATTAATTATAGCACTTATAAAAGTAGTATGCTTTTTATATATATAATTTAATTTACATTAATATTATTTATTGATGTAATTAATTTAAAAATATATAAATAAATTTCAAATACGATCCTCTCTAGCGGCTAAGAGTTGGAATTCTCCTTCCTATTTCAAGCCTTTCTCCTAGGTGTGGTGGATGCTTTCCTTACGATACCAGAAATTCTTGGTGGGCTTAGAAGCGGTAGCCGTGCCCGAGCCTAGTATTAACTAGGATGTAACATTCGACGGATAGCGGTATATGAAAACATTCGGGCGCAGAGCCTCCTCGGAAGAGCAAGATCAAGATCTGGATTCAACTATGACGAAAGGCTTTCATCCAGATCTCAATCCCGATGGACCACGAGGTACAGATAAATATTGTGTCATATAAGCATTCTAGTCAATTTTTAGAATTTATTCTATCTCATAATAATTAAAAAAAATCATAGAAATATGATTTTATGACAATATTAAATATTTTAAGCCTAATATTCTATTTTTCCCTTGTAAGTAGATATTTTATCATGATGTGGTAGATTATATGAAAGTAAAGATAAAATGAAATGTATCCAAGTTGTATGTGATTTTTTTCTTTTTAAATGTTTGAATTCAAAATTTTCCAAATTTTGTGAATAGAATGATCTTGGATACATTATAATTTTCCAAATTTGTGAATAGTTATATATTATAGTTATATGACTTGGATACATTATAATAAATATATAAGTCATATATTATTATATCATACAAATAAAGGAAAAGAAGAAATTTTCATATACAATATTTAAAACTATTTTTATACTATTATTATCTTGGATACATTACAATCTTGGATAGAATGAGGTGGGGCCAAATTTTGTGGTAATTGAAAAAAGATAAAAAAAAAAATTGGCACAAAATAAGACATACAAAGTTACCATTATATATAAATTTTATTTGCTTTTTTTTTTTTAAATAATTCACAATGAAATATTAAAACACCCTAAAGTTTATATATTTCAATATTATTATCCATTCTGATGACTTCCGTTCATTTACTATCAATACAAAATTATTCATCTAACAACTACAAACATTATATATATGTCAGGATTTCATGATTAATCAATCACATGTCATACAATATATGTCTATTTTAAATAATAACTAGTGTTGTTACCCGTGCGATGCACGGGATACAATATAAAAAAATATTTTTATTAAATATTTTTAAATTATTTAAGATAGTATGTCAATTTTATTCGACACAACATATCAAGTATATGATAATATAATATTCATTTAAATATTTTATTTTTTATTCTTCCAATTTATTTTTGTAGGTATGAATTTAATTAGTATTAGTTTATAAAATATTATAAGAGTGTAAGATCTAAAATATAATAATTTTATACCAGTTACTTGCATGTACTTATATAATTATCGATTATATTAATCTTATAATTTTTTTAGCAATTCATATTTTGCATATTGCTCGATAATTGACCAACATTTAATCCATAAAATTAATTTTTATTTATAATTACTCTAGTATAATCGATAATTATATATAATCACTCTAATATAATCGATAATTATATATAATCACTCTAATTTCACATTAAAATATATATACATAAACTTTTTATTTTTGAACACCTTAAATAGTGTTTTTTATGTATATATATTTTAATGTGAAATTTATAATTCTTTATTTTACCTGACAATAAAAATATAATTTATTAATATATATAATTTATAATTCTTCAAATTTAGCTTAATGAATAATTTAAAATATTAATAAAAATATAATTTTTAATATATATTCTTTAGATTTTAGTTTATTCATGATCAAGTTGACTACATTTTATAAAAGTTTATTAATATTTTAAATTATTAATTAAGCTAATATAATTCAAACATAATAATTTTTATTATTTTATTATATATTTTAAGTGGTATTGATTGATGAACATAATTTATATCTACAACCATGAGATGATAACAAAGTAATCAGAATATTTTTTATAATTATAATGAGTATTTTTTTTTTTTAAAAAAAAATCATGTTAACAAAATTACTATGAAATTGGTATTATTGGTCTTATTCAAAATATATCTAATCAATTAATCATTCTATTTAGTGCGTGTGTGTGTGTGTGTTTATATATTACTGTTGATTTTTTTTTTTTACCCAAACGTCAAAACAAAATTTGTACTAATACATTTATATCTTTGGGTATATTATTAAAACATAATTTATCTTCACAAATATTTGAGACCAAATTTTACTTCAAGCAATAATTAGTTTAAATATTTTCAAAGTTGTACTATTACATTTATATCTCTGAGTATATTATTAAAACATATAATTTATCTTCACGAATCTTTGAGACCCAAACAATAATTGGTTTAAATCTTATTAATTGTCTTAATGAACTAACCAATTTTGGTTTTATGTAATGAATGAATGTCTAATAGTAATTGCCAAATTTAGCTGAAATATTTAGGCGGGAAAATTTGTGACAAATATAGTAAAATGGATTGGTCTATTATATTGATATAGATATAGATATAGATATAGATATAGATATAGATATAGATATAGATATAGATATAGATATAGATATAGATATAAATATAGATATAGATATAAATATAGATATAGATACTAGTCATGGGTAGGAGAGCAATATAAGTTAAGATAAAAAAAATTGTTATAATTTCATCTCTTAGCTGATTTCATTGTTGACACGATTTTTTATTGATAACAGTTTTCTAATCCTACAATTATTCTAATGCATGCAAAGTCATGATATACTTATTTAAAGATATAAGACATTGCAATAAGAAAATTTTAATATAAAAGAAGAATAAAAATATTTAATAAACAAGTTCATTTATAAATTATTTTAGTAAAATTACTCAACTTATATATATTTACTAAAATATATGTAATAAAATATAAAATTCCATGTGGGGCCTAGGCCCCACCTGGATAGGTTAAGGATCCGCCCCTAATCAAGAGTAGAAGTGGCCACGGGCCAACCTGGCCCGTCGAACCGGCCCTAAACTGGTCCGGCACGTCCAGTATTAGCTCGGTTATGAATCGGCCCGGAATTTTTTAAGGACCGGTTAAGGGCAGTCTTTTATTCATTTTTTGACCCATCGGGCCGGGCCAGTTCCGATTTTTTCGACGGGTCATAGTTGTTTTTTTTACGGTTCAAATGAACCAACCCATAGAAATTGTCGGGACGGTTACGGGCCCAACCTTGAGGCCCATCGACCCGGCGGACCGAGCCGGGCCCGGCCCGGACCCGGCAGCTGGCCATGTCTAATCAAGAGCTTGAGTCTATTCCTAATCAAATTAAATGGGAAGTCAATTTAATGTCATTATCACATTTTTTTTTAATAATCTGGCTCAATCAAATTAATAGACCAAATCAACTCTTGAGTCATAAAAAAAAATAACAACTAATCATATCACGTTTTTTAAAATTAACCCTAACAAATCAAAAAATTTAAATAAAATCAAAACATCTTATATTCAAGACTTTGACGATCAATCAATCAAACAATCAAACAATCAAACTAAAACATACAACTTTTCTATAAAACCAGATGGTTGGTTTTTTAATGGAACCAACCACCAATGGGAAAGCTCCACATGGGGTTGTCCCACATGATTCATGTGGGACAACTCCATGTGGAGCTGTCCCATTGGTGGTGTGGTTCCATAGGAAACCAACCATCTGGTTCCTTAGCAAAATTGCACCTCCCGCTCGAATTATAAAAAGCAAACAAACTCAAATAGTGTTTGAACATGATTGGATTCCACTCAAAACCTTAAACCTGCTAATTCTTGACACTCAAAAACCTTAAACTTGTTACTTGTATATTATATTATGCATGCGTAAAAAGTAGTAATAAATTTTCCTGTGCAAATCACTTCAAGAGGTAATAGCTGATACAGTTCTCCTAGGTTGCAGGGAACTACTTTATTTTCCTCAGGACAAAACTTGATGCCCTGTCCTATGGTCCTTTAATTTCCAGTAGTAACTCAGGAATTCATGCTAGTTTCTTTTTAGCTAATTTAAAGGAATCTTTTAGGTAAAATATTTAAAATAAATATTTTATTAATGTCTTATCATGTCAACTCTTGTTATATTGTACATTTAATAACAATTTTTCTTATAGTAAGAAGTTCAATCCACCTTTTTATTGAAAATAGGATCATATGGGAATGAGTGATAAAAGAAATGAGAATAGATATTAACAGTCGGATGTGATATATCAACGTCTCCAGACACGATTAAAGATTCCAATTTTGGTCAAATGGGCGGTGACATTGTCGAAATAATGTGGACTTTTGATTTTTCACGCGGAGTATTTTAGTCATTGCGCAAAGAATTAATACACTATAATGATAATTAATAATATGCATTCTCATGTAAATTAATGTGCATTTTGTCTAACGCTTGTGCATCGCACTGGACGTTATTGTGCAACCATCAACTTTTATTAAATTACAAATTTAACTCATGAACTAAATTGCAATATAGTAATTTGAAGATAAGTCCCTTGGGCTTATCTATTTTTTAAAAAATAGCTCCGAACCATAATTTCTAAAATTGGTAGCGGCTAGTTTCGTTTTTCAAGCCTCAGCGGACGGCGCCATTCGAATCGCGGTGGGATGGGCAAAAATGGCATAGATGGCCACTCGCCAGACATCATTGAGCAGTGGGAGGACAAGGACCAACTAGACTACTTGAAGCGTGTCACTGCTCACCGCCTACCTTGGCGCCGTGAAACACGCGATGAAGGTAATGATACAGATGCTCTCACAGAGGCGGCTCTGGTGGTTGATCATAGTAGGTTAAGACTATTCATATACGGCAGGTGCGGCTGACGGCGGAGGCGAGTACCACCGTGTGCGATGGGGCCGACGCTAGTGATGGAGGGGGTGGCAGTGGCGAGCAGCGGGCCTTGAAGAGTCGGCTGTGCGTGAATCTTGATGTGCGTGTGCATGTTTGTGTGTGAGAGAGAGGGGTGTGCATGTTTGTGTGTGAGAGAGAGGGGTGGCACTGGTGGAGTGGGGCTTAGGTGGGTGAGGGTAATGTCCATATTGCCATTTAATTTGGTGTCTGACATGTATTCTTATTTCTTTCACTTAGATCTATTCTCACCGGAACCTATCTCTATGTAACGTAATGTTTTCAATGGATTCAAAAAACAAAAATAAAGAAATGTATATATTCAAAGGATTTATTAATTTTTGACATGAAAACCTTTTTTTCTCGGATGAGGCCCAAAGAGGTGTCTATATCTTCAATAAGATTAACCATTTGTTCGTAGCCCAGATCGTTCAAGCACTCTCCCATCCTTTGCCTGCTCAAATCAAATAAGAAAATCAAACATATATCAAAAAAAAAAAATGAACTATTAGTAATTACAAAAGAAAAATAATAATTTTATAATTGGAAAATTATGAATAATTAAATGTACCTAATCTCCTTCCTAAGGTTCCTGTTAACCTCCTTCAGTTTCTGCAAGTGTGCTTGCATTTTCTGCACAAATAATAATTATATTCCACCCAAAAAAAAAAAAAAACTCAAAAATTCAATATTCTCTCCCTAGCATAATTAATTGATACAATTAATCATTCTATTTTAACAAGAAAAATAATAATAAAAATAATAAATAAAAAATTAGAAGAACCTCCTGTTGTCTGCTCCAGATATCAACCCCCATAGCCTTCTGATACTGATCAAATACTTGCTTCGTCCTACGTACGAAATTAAATAAAAAAAAAAAAACCATAATTAAAATTCAAGATTTTTTTAAATCAATTAAAAAAAACACTTATAATTTTAGGAAAACACAGCAAGATATACCATAATTTGGACAAAATTACAATTTTATCCATTATACTAATTATTAAAAAAAAAAATAACTCCTTGCAAGAAAATCTCAATTTATTTTAACCAATACGAAAATTCTTATCTACCTCAAATTTACTAGATATAATTTTCAGGGGAAATGCTACAGTCCTGGTTACGAAATCATTCCGTCGAGATTTGTAACCGTTAGATTATCGACGATCTTACGGTTACAAAATCTCGATAGGAATGGTTCCATCGTGGAACCGTAGAATGTCCCTAATGTTCAACGTTTCCCTAATTTGTAGAGATTTAGAAAGAGAGAAATTAGGGTTTACGTGGTTGTTGGGCTGATGTACTCGTGAAGCTTCTGTGTGTTGGAGATCATGACAATGGAGACTTTGGCATCACACAGAACAGTGAGTTCATGGGCTTTCTTGAAAAGCCCATTTCTCCTCTTTGAATAGGTCACCTGCCTGTTCGTTTGGTTCTCTATTCTCTTTATCTGGATTTTCCCACGAGTCATCTCTCTCTCTAAAATCTCTTTCTCTCTCTAAAGATTGATTTTTTTTTTTTTTGTGTGTCTAAAATGGTGATAAGATTCTGCAGATCACCACAAGGAAGAAGAAGGGTAAAAGAAGGGTTTGTGTAATTGAAAGAGTAATTTTGGGGGGACCATTGAGGTTTCCATTAATGGAAAGTTTTACCTAATCTGTGAAAATATGGTTGCAGAGATTGATAAAGCAATTTAAGAATGGGTCATCTCTTGTTATCAGTCACCACCACACACACACACATACACACACACTATGCCCCACCACCCCTTAAGTTGTAAGATCCACAACTTTTTTTGTGGGCATTTTTAAGTATTTTTATTTGAGGAGAACAAAATCGAGTCGACATTGAAAAATCGAGCCAAATAATGTAATTTAAATATTGTAGTTTGAT